TATGGGTATATACTAACCAGGTATGGGTATATACTAACCAGGTATGGGTATATACTAACCAGGTAATGGGTATATACTAACCAGGTAATGGGTATATACTAACCAGTTATGGGTACATACTAACCAGTTATGGGTATATACTAACCAGGTATGGGTATATACTAACCAGTTATGGGTATATACTAACCAGGTATGGGTGTATACTAACCAGCTATGGGTATATACTAACCAGGTATGGGTATACACTAACCAGGAATGGGTATATACTAACCAGGTATGGGTATATACTAACCAGGTATGGGTGTATACTAACCAGCTATGGGTATGTACTAACCAGGTATGGGTATATACTAACCAGGAATGGGTATATACTAACCAGCTATGGGTATATACTAACCAGGTAATGGGTATATACTAACCAGTTATGGGTATATACTTACCAGGTATGGGTATGAGTCACATGTTGTGACGCAACAGGTGGTGACTAACAACCCAGTGCAAACAGTGACAAATGAGCTTTGATCAAGGTAACAAAGTACCTGAAGACAATCACTGGTAACACACCAGCTGAGGACGGTCACTGGTAACACACCAGCTGAGGACGGTCACTGGTAACACACCAGCTGAGGGCGGTCACTGGTAACACACCAGCTGAGGACGGTCACTGGTAACACACCAGCCCGTGACGACATAGTGACAAACCAGCTGAGGACGGCCACTAGTGACCCACCAGCCCGTGACGACATAGTGACAAACCAGCTGAGGACGGCCACTGGTGACCCACCAGCCCGTGACGAAAGAGTGACAAACCAGCTAATGACGATCAGTGGAAACACGCAAGCTGAGGAGTCCTGAAGTGACTGATCTTTGATGTGTATGGAATTATCAATTTCAAAGCTGACGATGTAATGATTACTTGCAGACTCCGTTACTACACAGCGTCACTGAACAAACAACAAACATGTGACTTCATTGAATATTTTATTCCAAGAATTTACTTCTGCCATCATCATAAATCTGCAGAAGTGTAAATATAATAGATACTTTTACAAAATATAGGTTATAAATCCATTTATCATGTTTGACTCGTACAGGGGGGTGTTTTCAACAAACGATATGCACTCACTCTATAACATAACAACACGATCCGAGCACCGTAAATTAAATAATAACAAAATAGTATTTACAAAACCAACAAAACAAGTAGCAATGAGGTAAACATTTAAATGAACATAGTAAACATATTGGCAACATTAATCTATAATCTCATGAAACGTTGCCATGCTATATTATGTATTAGACTACAGATACGGCTTAAAGGTTCTTGCTGTATACAGAGAGGACGTGGTATTCTCGTTCTAATAGTATTGTCTTTAACCATTTCCCTATATGATCTATCATTATTAAGATTTGTGGTTGTCAACACAGCTTTACTTCAGGCATTGTCTATTATAAGGCACGTGAAAATGGCAACGTGAACTTCAAGCTGCGTCGGTAACACATCACCACATGGAACTCTATGGTTACACACGTCCTGCAGCTGCATAATCACACGTGAGTTTCGGATCTGCATCATCACATTCGTGTAATGGATCTGCATGATTACATGTTGTGTAGAACTGCATCATCACATTCGTGTTATGGATCTGCATGATTACATGTTGTGTAGAACTGCATCATTACATGTGTGTCATGGAGCTACATACTTACATGTGTCATTGACTTACATACTAACATGTGTGTCATGGAGCTACATACTTACATGTGTGTCATTGACTTACATACTTACATGTGTGTCATGGAGAAACATACTTACATGTGTGTCATGGAGCTACATACTTACATGATGTCACGGAGCTACATACTTACATGTGTGTTATTGACTTACATCTTTACATGTGTGCCACTGACTCACATACTTACATGTCTGTCATGGAGCAACATACTTACATGTGTGTCACGGAGCTACATACTTACATGTGTGTCATTGACTCACATACTGACATGTGTGTCATGGAGCTACATACTCACATGATGTCACGGAGCTACATACTTAAATGTGTGTTATTGACTAACATCTTTACATTTGTGCCATTGACTCACATACTTACATGTGTGTCAGGGAGCTACATACTTACATGTGTGTCAGGGAGCTACATACTTACATGTGTGTCAGGGAGCTACATACTTACATGTGTGTCAGGGAGCTACATCCCTCCATGTGTGTCAGGGAGCTACATACTTACATGTGTGTCAGGGAGCTACATACTTACATGTGTGTCAGGGAGCTACATACTTACATGTGTGTCAGGCAGCAACATACTTACATGTGTGTCAGGGAGCAACATGCTTACATGTGTGTCAGGGATCAACATGCTTACATGTGTGTCAGAGAGCAACATACTTACATGTGTGTCAGGGGCAACATGCATGCTTACATGTGTGTCAGGGAGCAACATACTTACATGTGTGTCAGGGGAGCTACATACCCATACATGTGTGTCATGGGGCAACATACTTACATGTGTGTCAGGGAGCTACATACCTACATGTGTGTCATGGAGCAACATACTTACATGTGTGTCATGGAGCTACATACTTACATATGTGTCATGGAGCAACATACTTACATGTGTGTCATGGAGCTACATACCTACATGTGTGTCATGGAGCAACATGCTTACATGTGTGTCAGGGAGCTACATAGTTACATATGTGTCAGGGAGCAACATACTTACATGTGTGTCAGGGAGCAACATACTTACATGTGTGTCAGGGAGCAACATGCTTACATGTGTGTCAGGGAGCTACATACTTACATGTGTGTCAGGGAGCAACATGCTTACATGTTTGTCAGGGAGCAACATGCTTACATGTGTGTCAGGGAGCAACATGCTTACATGTGTGTCAGGGAGCTACATACTTACATGTGTGTCAGGGAGCAACATACTTACATGTGTGTCAGGGAGCAACATACTTACATGTGTGTCAGGGAGCAACTTACTTGCATGTTTGTCAGGGAGCAACATACTTACATGTGTGTCAGGGAGCAACTTACTTGCATGTTTGTCAGGGAGCAACATGCTTACATGTGTGTCAGGGAGCAACATACCTACATGTGTGTCAGGGAGCTACATACTTACATGTGTGTCAGGGAGCAACATACTTACATGTGTGTCAGGGAGCAACATGCTTACATGTGTGTCAGGGAGCAACATGCTTACATATGTGTCAGGGAGCAACATACTTACATGTGTGTCAGGGAGCAACATGCTTACATATGTGTCAGGGAGCAACATACTTACATGTGTGTCAGGGAGCAACATGCTTACATATGTGTCAGGGAGCTACATAGCTACATGTGTGTCAGGGAGCAACATACTTACATGTGTGTCAGGGAGCAACATGCTTACATATGTGTCAGGGAGCAACATAGCTACATGTGTGTCAGGGAGCAACATACTTACATGTGTGTCAGGGAGCAACATGCTTACATGTGTGTCAGGGAGCAACATAGCTACATGTGTGTCAGGGAGCAACATACTTACATGTGTGTCAGGGAGCAACATGCTTACATATGTGTCAGGGAGCAACATACTTACATGTGTGTCAGGGAGCTACATACTTACATGTGTGTCATGGGGCAACATACTTACATGTGTGTCAGGGAGCTACATACCTACATGTGTGTCATGGAGCAACATACTTACATGTGTGTCATGGAGCTACATACTTACATATGTGTCATGGAGCAACATACTTACATGTGTGTCATGGAGCTACATACCTACATGTGTGTCATGGAGCAACATGCTTACATGTGTGTCAGGGAGCTACATAGTTACATATGTGTCAGGGAGCAACATACTTACATGTGTGTCAGGGAGCAACATACTTACATGTGTGTCAGGGAGCAACATGCTTACATGTGTGTCAGGGAGCTACATACTTACATGTGTGTCAGGGAGCAACATGCTTACATGTTTGTCAGGGAGCAACATGCTTACATGTGTGTCAGGGAGCAACATGCTTACATGTGTGTCAGGGAGCTACATACTTACATGTGTGTCAGGGAGCAACATACTTACATGTGTGTCAGGGAGCAACATACTTACATGTGTGTCAGGGAGCAACTTACTTGCATGTTTGTCAGGGAGCAACATACCTACATGTGTGTCAGGGAGCTACATACTTACATGTGTGTCAGGGAGCAACATACTTACATGTGTGTCAGGGAGCAACATGCTTACATGTGTGTCAGGGAGCAACATGCTTACATATGTGTCAGGGAGCAACATACTTACATGTGTGTCAGGGAGCAACATGCTTACATATGTGGGAGCAACATACTTACATGGTGTCAGGGAGCAACATGCTTACATGTGTGTCAGGGAGCAACATGCTTACATATGTGTCAGGGGAGCAACATAGCTACATGTGTGTCAGGGAGCAACATGCTTACATGTGTGTCAGGGAGCAACATAGCTACATGTGTGTCAGGGAGCAACATACACATGTGTCAGGGAGCAACATGCTTACATGTCAGTGTCAGGTGTCAGGGAGCAACATACTTACATGTGTGTCAGGGAGCAACATGCTTACATATGTGTCAGGGAGCAACATACTTACATGTGTGTCAGGGAGCAACATACCTACATGTGTGTCAGGGAGCAACATGCTTACATGTGTGTCAGGGAGCTACATACTTACATGTGTGTCAGGGAGCTACATACCTACATGTGTGTCAGGGAGCAACATACTTACATGTGTGTCAGGGAGCTACATACATACATGTGTGTCAGGGAGCTACATACCTACATGTGTGTCAGGGAGTTACATACCTACATGTGTGTCAGGGAGCTACATACCTACATGTGTGTCAGGGAGCTACATACCTACATGTGTGTCAGGGAGCTACATACGTACATGTGTGTCAGGGAGCTACATACCTACATGTGTGTCAGGGAGCTACACATGTGTGTCGTACATACCTGTGTCAGGGAGCTACATACCTACATGTGTGTCAGGGAGCTACATACCTACATGTGTGTCAGGGAGCTACATACGTACATGTGTGTCAGGGAGCTACATACCTACATGTGTGTCAGGGACCTACATACTTACATGTGTGTCAGGGAGCTACATACCTACATGTGTGTCATGGAGCAACATACTTACATGTGGCTCATTGAGCAACATGCGTGTCGTGAAGCTACATACATTTGTATGTGTGAATCTGAGTTGAATCATTACATGTGTATCGCTGAACTATGTTTCTGTATGTGTTATTGATGGGATTGAATTGTCAGCAAATTTACATTTATCATGGAATGATACGAGCATCATATTATGATATACATGTGTATATGCACGTCACTTAATGATATCAGGTACGTGTATGTGTGTATCACTGAATGACATCACGGATGCTTGTATGTACATCACTGCATGATATATGTTAGACAAAGTGGATCATGGAATGATATACATGCGGATGTGTGTATAGCTGAATGATATAATGTATGTATTCGTCAAGGAATGTTGCCCAGTCATTTGACTGATGTTCGTTACAGGCCCAGTTGACTGGTAAGTGCGCATGGGAGCGAACAATACACAGTTAAAATATGACATAAATCGCATCATGTGTTTCAGTTGGTTAGATATGTAAAAACATGTGGCATTGGTAGCAGGACGTTTCTGAGTTTGATGTATCGGTATCTGCTGGCAGGAGAGCCTAACGTTGACAGTCTCTCAGTTGGTCATGTGTCCGTATTTCTCGCACGCCTGCATGTCATGCAGGTTACACGTGTGTTGTGTCTATGTTTTTGTGACTATCGGGAATAAGTAAATATGGTTTTGAAACAAGAACACGAATTCAAACACAAGTGTAAACATCACAAACAAAACTAAACTTACTGCATAACCAAAGAAGTTTTACAACGACACTTGCACTTGAAGGGCTAAGTACCACTTACACGACTCATAAACCAGCACTCTTGGAGACTAGACGTAGAAGGTTTGACTTTAAGCCAAACTGGATTTCTAAACATTTGGGGCCGGCCATTGTAGTTCCAAAAATTATTCTTGCATTCCTTTTCTTCAAGACGTACTATCTGTTGTGCTATTTAACAATGGTACATGGTAATTCGTTTCAATCCACCTCAGTGACATTTAAGAAGCAAGTCAGTTTTAGATGAAATAGAAGTTCAGATTTATTACAATGATCGGCCCCATTATGAATATTGCGCAAACTTAGATTCGAACCGGGAAAATATATACTTTTCACACTTCGCTCTGATATTTCTATGACATGAGATAACTACCTACGTCCATTTCAATATGTGTCTGTACAGTCTGTGTACGTTACCATGTATTTTGCAGTCTGGCAATGTTGTTCTGAACCTTCAGTGCTGTAGTATTATGCTATAGTACAGTTACAGTGTCATGCTATACTAGAATGTCCATTTAACATTATCACAATGTGGTTCATAAGACTGACTGGACAGACCTAGCAAGGGTTTGACATGAAAATGAACAGTCAGTACTTTCTGGGTTTGTACAAACTCGGGTTCGCTGTCAACCTGTGAATTCGTAACACCACGAGCTTCATTAAGATAACGAATAGCAAAAAACTGCCTGTTTCTTTGGAGACGGATGTTCTGGCCAATGGGTGTTCTCATTACATCGATAAACAGCAATGCTTCTCGCTTAGCAACGACAGGTAATAGCGGGGTTCCGTTAGAGGTCCTGGTGCAAGGTGTGTTTGACTGTCTTATGTCACAGAAAGACGTGGAGGTAAACACGCACTCACCAGTACATTGAAAAGTAGATTACATATTATAAAAACCCATCAAGTACTGACGATTAAACAATGCTGGAATCACGGTGTGTCGGTGTGTGTGCTCATGCAGATATCTACATGAACATTGTGCATACTTACTGTGACTAGCTCACACATAATATATGTACAACAGTCATTCATTAAATACAAAAAACAAAATGTAAAATGCGTTCAGTATCGTCCATTGTCACTCTACCCTGCCTTCACTACTTCTGGCATAGCGGTCCACAAACCTCACAGCGGAACAAATAAGGACCATGGAATGATCTTCTGTGTTGGAGGAGTTGTCAGCTAGCCAGGGAATGTTCAGTGGGCAGCAAAAGATAGCACTCAAGTCAGCACTGGGTCGGTAATGGGTGGTGAGCGCTTCGAGATGATCAGCACTTGAGCCAATTGTGGTCAGCAGGAGATCCTTGGACACTTATCGAGTAGCTGATGACCAATTCATGACCACTACATGCTGGCCGAACGGTCATGCGATGTCAGCACATCTGACCACCACGTGCTGACACGTTCAGATAGCACATAGTGAAAATACACCTGAAGGTGGGAAAGAAGTGAAGTGACAAAACGTACTTCCCCAGTGCCCAGTATACCAACAGACCACTAGTGTCCTGTGTGGGGGGCACCCAGTCCGTGGGGACTCTGAGCAATGTCTTAAAACAGGAGCAGCTGCCATTTATTTTAGATGCAGTTAGCATAGATCACATCCACATCACTGGGGGCCATCAAACAGAGTTCCGCTTCTCCCGGACGCGCTCCATCGCCTTCCGCGAGAACTTGTACACGAGTCGCCTCCCTTCCACGCGTTCCAGGATCCCACGTTTGTAGTAGTGCCTGGAAACAGAAGGACATGTTATCACACATCTTGTTCCAATAGAAACTCAGCTCATTAACGTTTGTGGCCGTATTGTAACAACTTTACATTGCCTAGGGTGTGTTGTCCATATTATTATCCGTATGGTGAAACATAACCAGAGTCAGATATATCATATGTGCACATGTGCACATATCACTTTTGCCTAGCAACCATTGTTTCTGTATTTCGTTGTCTGTGACATCATTAAACAATTGAACGTGACGTCAATGAACAGGGCTGTCACACTTGCTTACCGTGTTGTACTGCACAAATGTACATGGATAAAATGGATAATAAAGAAATTATTACACTCGCAAGTGTGCCACACGACTTATACGAAACTCGTGCAAAATTGTGTATTGCCCTCTCTCACGCTCGGGCAATACAAGATTTCACACTCGTTTCGTATAAGTCCTATGACACACTTGCTCATGTAATAATCTCTATTTATACGTTCTTATCAGTGACCTTCGTGACGTGATATTAATACATACGAGGGCGAAAATATCGCAGTTCATATTTTTCATACGACACCCTACGGCAAAATATCACTCATGACAGCAGCACCACCTCTCCGGGGCGATATATAGAGAATACTACACGAGGTCTCATTACAAACGAATTATACGAAACGAGTGTCCTTCCTATGGTATCTGACCGAGCGATGTTTACATTCGCAATGTTTACATTCCCACAATGCATTTAAGTTGTAGAATGAATTAATTCACGTGTTTATTATGAATGAAAGAATAGTTACGTCAGAATGTGACCTAACTGAGAGGTCATCGGTTATCCAATAAAATCGTTAGAATCTCAGGTCAAGTCGTTACGACACAGGTCAACGTGATACGACACTCGTGTTCAGGTGTTACACCCACCTCATGGCTCGGCTGAGTTTCTCGTAGGTCATGTTGTCATTGTTCTTGAGCGCCCCCCCATAACTGCGCCACGGCCTCCGACTGGACGAACCTAAAGACGCCCTCTCTCTGGTTCTCCCAGCGCAGGTACAGTGGGTTGTACATGGGGTTGAGCAGGGCCTCGTAGATGAACTCCCACAGGTGCTGGTTCTTCACTGCACAGACACACTATAATGTCATCTCTGTTACACATATAATGACAAAATCTTCCACTTTCAAAATACAAATTGCACCAGTTTGGATAGTCCGGACCCCAACTGGGATTTCGACGCATCAAGTTCGAAGTATGCGAGTATATATGAAAATAGATACAGAATAAATTCGTGGAGACCGGAAGGTACGTTCGAAACAACCTGGAATTCGACATATTCACTCATCACCCCGAAGACCCGGGTTTGATTCCTCACATGGGTACAATGTGTAGATATTATCAAATCTATTGCAATTTATTTAAAACATGTCTTTAATGCAAGAAATGCCACCACAACCAACACGTGCATATAATTGTAGCAAGTGTATTTGTACTATAGGCCTTTAGGCCCGAAATACTGAATAAAAATGAATCTGAATCTGAATCTGAAAATGTGTAAAGCCCATTACTGATGTTCCCGGCCTGCTAGTGCTGGAATATTGCCAAAAGCGGGGGTAAAACCATACTCACTCACCCACTCAGTGGGAACCTTACCGGCAAAAAAACTGTTCTTAACTTACATCAAGAATTGTCAACTTAGTTTCATAGAAAAAAATGTTTTGGGGACACAGGTTATTACACTAGTCAAGATTTGTTTTTTGCTTTTCAGCGAAGTTACCTTTTTTATCTTTTTGTGACCTTGACCCGTCATCCGGAATACTCTTGACCCTTGGTCTTCCGGGTCGTCGTCTTGGCAACTGCTGCGGAAAGTGGTTCCCAGGGAAACTGTAGGTATTTCTTACAGATGTGGAATTCGTGTACGTTTGCCCATGGTAAAAGTATTCTGGGTGGTAGGAATCTGAGGCTGGAATAATGATATTGATAATGATAATAATATATCATAAACTGACAGCCAAAAGAAAGTATACCAAATTTGTTTTTGTAAGATTGAAAATAAAATAATTGTTGTTAAAATTGATTATGTGTATAATATACAGCTCATTCCTGCAAGAGTTTGTAAAAGGTAATCTGTTGCTGGGTATTACTGAACGGAGAATAATCAGTGACAATTTGGGTACGAAATGAATTTGCATCCACATGACCAGAACCATGTGTGAAATGTAGCGTATTTGAAACGAAAAATGCAAATTTACTGATGTTCAAAGACAAGTTATCAAAAACACAATTTGTGTTTCGAGAAAAAGTTGGGGTTATTTTTAACATTTTATAGGTTGAAATCAAAACACTGCTGGCAACACATTTGAATGCTTTCTCGGTGTATCAATTAATTCAATTTGGAAATTGTCAGATAAACTTTTTTGTATATAATAATGATGAAAATGCACGCTTAAATATTGTTACGATATGGTCAGTGTAATGTGGAAAAGACGAATAAAATGTGAGTTCCTAACTATTATCAGTTTCCTTAACGTCATGGAGGATTCCATTCTAACGGGGTCAGTCCTCTGTGACCGGACACGTTTCTAATAATCAGAAACCAGCACATGGGTTTCAGTGGTATATAAAAAATTCAATGTTTGAGGGTGGATAAAGAACAAGTTGTGTATGAAGCGACGTACAAAAGAAAATACACACCTGGTGCTTTCGGATTAGTTTCCAAAAAGCGACGTAAATGTTTTGAAAAGAGTTTTTACAGTGATATATAAGTCACAGACTTTCCTAATATGTTGCCAAAACACCACAGATACCGTGCCCAATTGCAAAGTTGTCAGTCAAAATCACAACACTTTTCAAATAATCCCGAAACACCAGGTGTGTACTTTCTTTCTACGTCAGTTTAGTTAAAATATAGTATTGTAGTTATTGTACAGGCCAAATGTCTTATGTTAGTACGTATGTGTAAAAGACAACCCACCCGTGTTTGTTTGTAGTTGAGGGGCATCGGTTGGGTCGAAGTCGAAGTACGGAGCCATGTTGTCGATGAGGGAGCATGGTAGAGCTTCCTGGCGTTCTGTCTTGATGCAACCGTCGGTGTAGTCTGAAAACATAATGGTTTATTATTACCAAACCATTTGTCTGTAGCCTTGCCAAATGAAAGAGGCAACTGAACTTCGACTTCTTTGTAAGTTCTTTGGATCTCCCATAACGTTTGGGCGGTGGGGTAGCCTAGTGGTTACAGCGTTCGCTCGTCACGCCGAAGAGTGAGTGAGTTTAGTTTTACACCGCTTTTAGCAATATTCCCCAGTAACATCACGGTGGGGGACACCAGAAATGGGCTTCACGCATTGTACCCAGGTCTTCGGCGTGACGAGCGAACGCTTTAACCACTAGGCTACTCCATCTCCCCCGTCACGCCGATGACCCGAGTCCGATTCCGCACATGGGTACAATGTGTGAAGCTCATTTTCTGGTGTCCCCCGCCGTGATATTGCTGGAATATTGCTAAAAGCGGCGTAAAACCAAACTCACTCACGTTACGGATAGTCAAAGAGAGAATATTTGGGTTTGTGAACTAATGCAGGGTCCAATAACTCTGCAATAGACTCAAATCTTAACGCAACGACAGTTGTAAGCCTCGGTTTAAGAACGTTACGATCACCTTAGAGCTAAAACCGACCTGTGGGTTTAAAAACGAAGATTCATCATAAACAGATGTATAAACGCCACAAAACCACACGCACAACAAACAAAAATATGTGAATTTTGGGAAGCGCGCATAAAATATTGACTCATCATTTCAAACAAACGAATATCCTAATGGACATGTGTGAACATTATAGGAATCCATGAGCGTTCATGCAGATGACATGCGAGTTGCAACAAAATACCATAACATAGCATGACCTTTAGTTCACACACATACCTGCATGTTGATGTGTTCGGGTAATTGTCGGCATGTTACAAGAACGTGGAGTAACGTGCTAGAAGTAGCAGGTGGGGTAACGGTACACCAGTACATTAGTGGGTTCAAAGAAAGCTACATTATAGGTGACGACTGGTGTGCAACTTGAAGGACATGATCAATGAGAGAAAAAGGATGTCGTCCTGTGACCGTATAGCAGATTGAAATATGACCAGGCCGCCTCCGTGGTGTAGTGGTTAGAGCGTCCGCCCGGAGAGCGGAAGGTCGCGGGTTCGATCCCCGATCGCGTCATACCAAAAGACGTTAAAATATGGTACTTGTTGGTCCCTGCCTGGCGCTCGGCAGTAATGGGTACAACAAGGACTGGTCGGCTCGGAGTCAGTATAATGTGTCTGAGTGGGGTATTCATGCTTCACTGCGTCATGGTATCTCAGTGGGCTAGCACTATAAAACCAGCTTCAACAAGGTCAAGTACCGGTTTAAAGATACATCAAGTTAATCAAGATTATTAAAGCGTACGTAAAATCTATGAATGTTGCCAAGAAAAGTTCACTATCCCTAATCAACGCTCCGTGAACTCTTCACGCACAAGAACAGTTTCATCGTGTGTTCTAACGAGTTAGTGAGTTTGGTTTTTTGACGCCTTTACCAATATTCCAGCAATATCACAACAGGGGACACCAGAAATGCGCTTCACAAATGTACCCATGTGAGCAATCGAACCCGGTTCTTTGGCGTGACGAGCGAACGCTTAGACCACTAGGCTACCCCACCGCCCCTGTCCTAATGAGGAATCACCACATTTCCACACAACAAGATCGTTGTTATTGACGATTACAGTTCTCACCCTGTATACTACATAACGGAATATGTACATGCAGATGGCTCACCTTGATCCTGTTTTCGGACGAGATTCGTGTACACAGGGGAGTTGCATGGCTGGAAGGCCTGTGTTGCGGAGTCACATGACCCAGGGGTGAAGGACGGCAGGTCTTGGAGGTCAGGAGAGGCCACCTCGGTTGGTTTAGAAAATATAACTGTAACAGACGAGAGGAAAAGATAGTTTCCATATGTAATGACCGTCCACTCGATCAGACCTACTGGTTTGGCATGGCCTGGGCGCTTACAGGGTAGACATGACGTACCATGTGTGTATCCTGACGTTTACAGGGATGACATGACGTACCATGTGTGTATCCTGACGTTTACAGGGATGACATGACGTACCATGTATGTATCCTGACGTTAACAGGGTAGACATGACGTACCATGCGTGTATCCTGACGTTTACAGGGAAGACATGACGTACCATGTATGTATCCTGACGTTTACAGGGAAGACATGACGTACCATGTATGTATCCTGACGTTTACAGTGATGACATGACGTACCATGTGTGTATCCTGACGTTTACGGGGTAGACATGACGTACCATGCGTGTATCCTGACGTTTAAAGGGATAACATGACGTACCATGTGTGTATCCTGACGTTTACAGTGATGACATGACGTACCATGTATGTATCCTGACGTTTACAGGGATGACATGACGTACCATGTATGTATCCTCACGTGTACAGGGATGACATGACGTACCATGTGTGTATACTGACGTTTACAAGGTAGACATGACGTTTACAAGGTAGACATGACGTACTATGTGTGTATCCTGACGTTTACAGGGTAGACATGACGTACCATGTGTGTTTCCTGACGTTTACAGGGTAGACATGACGTACCATGTGTGTATCCTGACGTTTACAAGGTAGACATGACGTACCATGTGTGTATCCTGACGTTTACAGGGATGACATGATGTACTCACACGTTGCATAGTGGCGTGTATCAGAGTATATAACGTACTTCCATTCGTGTATACTATCGTGTATAGAATCTAAAAAGCCTTTCCACATCCATAAGAAATATCTCATAAAATCATAAAATCTATTTGGGCCAAACAAGACGTACGTCTAAATGTATACTGGTATGTATAGGGCAGACATGACGTACCTCCACGTGTTTACTGTTGTTTATGAGGCAGACATGACGTACTTCCACGTGTGTACTGGTGGATGTGTATAGGGCAGACATGACGTACCAACACGTGTGTACTGGTGAATGTGTACAGGGCAGACATGACGTACTTCCACGTGTATACTGGTGGGTGTGTATAGGGAAGACATGACGTACCTCCATTAAGCAGCAGTTTCCGCAGCATCTCGTAGAACAACTTTCCGAACTTGGGGTCTATCCGCAGAAAGTCGTCAGCAGTCATGTTACACAGCTGAGATCCAGTGAGGTCCTGGAAGGCCTCGGCACGCAGCTGACTCATGTTGAGATCCTGCTCCTGCCCCAGGTAGAACAGCCAGTCCAAGACCTCCTTGCAGTTCCAGTGTTCCGGGTGTTTCCGGGTCCAGCTCAAGAAGCTGTCTTGATCTGCGGACATCAAAGATGGCATCAGGTGAGGAGTCGTTTACTGCCATCGTATTGCGATTAACAGTATCCAGTAATCTGGCATGTTGCAATTCGTCTCTACAAATATTAGGATTGGTTTTGACATTATTTTTATTACCATACTATGCCGTCGGGATATGACTGTAATATTGCCGGTGTGACGTAAAAGTTTAACTCACTCACTCACTAACAATTATCAACCAGCATTTAAACATGCCAACAATATCTAGCCTACTGGTGACAATTTAATCAAGCAATCGTCATCACACCTAGCTCCCAACCAACAATCAATCTATCAAAGCTCCCAACCAACAATCAACCTGTCAAAGTTTCCAACCAACAATCAACCTACCAATGCTTCCACACAACAATCAACCTGTCAAAGCTCCCAACCAACAATCAATCTATCAAAGCTCCCAACCAACAATCAACCTGTCAAAGCTCCCAACCAACAATCAATCTATCAAAGCTCCCAACCAACAATCAACCTGTCAAAGTTTCCAACCAACAATCAACCTACCAATGCTTCCACACAACAATCAACCTGTCAAAGCTCCCAACCAACAATCAATCTATCAAAGCTCCCAACCAACAATCAACCTGTCAAAGCTCCCAACCAACAATCAATCTATCAAAGCTCCCAACCAACAATCAATCTATCAAAGCTTCCAACCAACAATCAACCTGTCAAAGCTTCCAACCAACAATCAACCTGTCAAAGCTTCCGACCAACAAACAACCTGCCAAAGCACCCAACCAACAATCAATCTATCAAAGCTTCCAACCAACAATCAACCTGTCAAAGTTTCCAACCAACAATCAACCTGCCAAAGCACCCAACCAACAATCAATCTATCAAAGCTTCCAACCAACAATCAATCTATCAAAGCTTCCAACCAACAATCAATCTATCAAAGCTTCCAACCAACAATCAATCTGCCAAAGCTCCCAACCAACAAGATCTATCAAAGCTCCCAACCAACAGGCAATCTATCAAAGCTCCTAACCAACAATCAATCTGTCAAAGTTTCCAACCAACAATCAACCTGCCAAAGCTCCCAACCAACAATCAACCTGCCAAAGCTCCCAACCAACAATCAATCTATCAAAGCTCCCAACCAACAATCAATCTATCAAAGCTCCCAAAGCTCCCAACCAACAATCAATCTATCAAAGCTCCCAACCAACAATCAATCTATCAAAGCTTACCAAAGCCTACGTCCATATGAAACCACGCAATCACCAACCTGCACAGAGCGAATTCACTTGACCATCAACAACGAACCAATACTCCAGACCAACGGGTTTGGATTATGGTCGGTAATCCCAGGACCGCTAAAGACCCTCACCTTCAAACACTTCATCTGTGTGGGACGGATAGGATTTCTTGCAGTTGTTGTTCCGACTACAGGAGTCGCTGCTGGACTCCATGTCACACGACCTCCGTTCACTGCTCTGCGAACTGAACCTGCACGACATGCCGGAATTGAAGTACTGAGGCGGCGACGAGGCCACATTGGCGGGGAACTGCACGTGACTCTGCTGCATGGTGTAGTTGGGACTAGGGCACTGGGAGCCATGGTAACTTCCGGTAAAGTTTTGTTCGGCCGCCATGGCAGTCAGTTGTGTAAATGGGTCGTAGCCGCTCTGGAACCCGTTGTCATGGAAACAGTCATTTTGAGGTCCGGGATATCCGTAATCTGACACAGGATACTGTGAACGACAGAAGTTGTGTCATACATGTTGTCCATACATCAGCAGTACCCTGATAAACATCTCAGGAACATCTGACAGTCGTACTGACATTGGTCCGTGTTATGTCTGTTTGTTTCACGTTTCACAATATTCCAGCTATATGACGGCGGTCTGGCAAACACAGACTAGACACTCCGGTGATTGGCGTCATGGATATATGCAGCTGGGATACGGTGATATGCATTAACCTAGCCTGACCACCCAATCCCGGTAATAGCCTCTGTAGGTTCCTGTCGGTTTATATAGATAAAACCACCATATAGCTGGAATATTGCTGAGTGCGGCCTAAAACTAAACTCACCCACTCTATAGATAAAAAGGCTTCCTTCATAGGAAAGCAAACGATAAAAGCATAACTATTCACTGCATCATATGGCGGATATATGATATGAAACTTCAAAGGCGTACTTGCCTACTGTACTTCACTGAGCAAGAAAATTGTTCGTCTAAGAGGGGAGAATACTTGTGTCGTCTGAGCAATATATTCCTACCAGAGACAAATGTGTCAGGTTGATAAATAAGTCAAACTTTAAAAAGTTATAATTAAGCACCACGTGTTAATAGAGGTGCACTAGACGGTTCTTAAACGCCGCATAATGATTGAGACGATACCAACATTGAACAAAATATGTTAAAGCTTAGATGCAACCAACAAAATACACATAATTAAAACGCACTTATAATTTATTCATGACATATAATATTGCTATTGTTACTCTCTATGTGTATATCCACACAACTTTCCTGTTATTCTCTATATCCACACAACTTTCCTGTTATTCTCTATATCCACACAACTTTCCTGTTATTCTCTATATCCACACAACTTTCCTGTTATTCTCTATATCCACACAACGTTCCTGTTATTCTCTTCGAGCTTACTAACACTATATTCTCACATAACTATAACATACTCTACACTGCTTATCTACATGGTATACTAACGCTATCGAATTTATGAGTGTATACTGGCAATATTATGCTGTTAGTTTACATTGTATACTAACACTTTCAAGTTTATAAGCATAATTATACAGACAACAGTATTCTGTTTTATACAGTATACCAACCCTATCAAGTTTATGAGTGAATACTGAACTGTTATTCTATATGGTATACTGACACTACCAAGTTTATAAGTGTATACTAACAACACTATGCCGTTATTCTATATGGTATACTAACACTTTCAGGTTTATAAGTGAATACTGTACTGCTATTCTATATGGTATACTAACACTTTCAGGTTTATAAGTGAATACTGTACTGCTATTCTATATGGTATACTAACACTTTCAGGTTTATAAGTGAATACTGTACTGCTATTCTGTATGATATACTAACAATAATAATTTATAAGTGAATACTGAGAAAATTATGCTGTTATTTTATATGGTATACTAACACTGCCAAATGTACAAGCGTATACTGACAACACTATAGTTCTGTTACTCTGTATACTAACACTATCGAGTTCATGAGTATATACTGGTAACATGTTACTGTTATTCTATATGGTATACTGAGTCTGTATAGCGTTTAGAAGTGAATACCTGCACTATTGTACTATAATTCCCTAGGATTTATTAACAATCTAAGACTTATATGCTTACGCCATTGTACAACATTCCCTATGGCCATACTAACACTGTATGTCGTCTATATGTGTATAATTTGTAATTTCAAGTTTATAGAATATGCTGCTCCTACAATAGGACATGAAGCAGTCACATGGCCGCGAGACTGAACTTGACCAGCACATGAACGGCACGTTTCGACTTTCATACGTCTTTCATGAAATTATTTCTTGACTCCTCTCATGTCCTCGAGAAAAAAAACCGGAATTCTAGGCAAGATGACACACAGGAGGGTTGTGTCCGGTAACTTAGACTTTTTAATCAGTATTTTAGGCTACATTAATAAAGCCAAAGTGTTTGACTACATGCTCGTTCAAGAATATATCCTCTCTTCGATCCGGCGTCGTAACCAAAACAAAGAGATGCACAACCAAACTATTGTATTACATACTGCTCCGTGTGGAGACTGACAGTGACTGTGGAGCAGTCTTTGCCTTTACCTCAGTATCAGTTTGTCACATCTTTATAACCACCTTCAATGGTCGGCAAATCGATCAAGACGACTTACACTAATCGCCACGGGTTCAATAACAACTTCGGAAATCGCTCCCACCGCGTTTGTTGTGTCGGCCAATTTGATGTTCTGTACTTGATGACAATGTATTACGACGAGCTGTCACTGTGACTGACTGGGGTAGTTCTTACTTAGTTTCTCAAGTAGGCATGCCTCAAATAGAAATATTGTGACCAAACTAAGATGTTACAGTAAAGCAATTTGTCACTTTTTCTTTTGAGATTTATCACATTCCCCGATTCGGCTAATTGATGAATGAACGTCAGATTAAACAAGTTAGAATTAGTTCATAAAATGGTGCATACACTTTTTGAGATAATAAAATCAATGATGTAATGACTATAAAAATTCAGTTTTAATTTGTTTGAGTACGTAGAAGTATTAACCTCCGTAACGTTATGGCTAAACATTGCAAGAAAGATGGAAATTGGGACAGATTTGCCCTCGACACTTTATACTGCAAGGACTTCTCATTATCCATGTATATACTAACACTGTTTATACATACACACAACATTTAATAGTATTGTCTACTAAGCTTGTATATTGTTTACATTGTGTACTAATACTCTTTGTGGACTTTACGTAGTATAATCTATATGCTCAATATGCATAGGTGTATCAGTTTGGTGTCATTCTTTAGCACAGTACAATATGTGTATACTTTGTGTATACTCACACGAGAGTGTTGTTCTTACATAGTATAGCCTATAGACACAATGTGTATACTCACACTAGAGTGCTGTTCTTTACATGATATAGCCTATATACACAATGTGTATACTTACACTAGTATGTTGTCATTCTTTAACACAGTACAACGTGTGCATACTTACACTAGTATGTTGTCATTCTTTAACACAGTACAACGTGAGTATAACATGTATACTTACACTATATTGTGGACTAGCAGAAGGCATGCTTGTACAATCCTCTTCGGCTGCTGTGGCGTGTTGAGACGGTGATAATAAGCGGAATTTCAGTTCTGAAAGTGAAAAGTAAATGTGTTGAACAGTGCGTCGATTAATATTCCTAGTAGGGCACCGGCCGAGAACGTACTGCTCACTGTGACAACGACGTCAGTATATACTGCATCAGCAAAGTCTGCGTTCACTCTGCAAGCTGTGTGAACATCAAGTGGGACAGCGATGTTCACGTTTACACTGACATCTGACGACTACTTCGACAATTACGTCAGCATCGACCTTGGCAGCTAAGTGAGCCTGTACACCAACATCATTGTCCATACAAATTCAGGAGGGCATGGATCTGATATGAGTTCTTTACCAACATAGTTTGTCAGTTCTGAACTTTCTTGAGCTGTTAGGTTTGAACATTTGAACGATCACACATATCTTGATATTATATTATAACAGGAATATACGAAGTTGTAGTAATCCTCACAAAATGCACAGTAATATGAATAATACCCCAGCATATTTCGACGACAGTCACATAATTTTAATGCAATGCAGAGAAAAGGTATACCGAATATTTCTATAAACACAGAAGCTACTGGTTAGTGACAACTGATAAGGTATATGCGACAACATGAAATGACCACTGCTTGGCGAAGGGAGGAGAATTGTCCAGCAACAAGTGTGAAGAGGGCGGGGAGCAACACACCAACAGTAAACTACAGGCAGCGTTTCCAACAATGTTTGTAAACATCATAACATTCATTTATTTAATATTATTCGTTTTTTAGGAAGTGCTTGCATCACAACTCTGTGTGATGGTGATGCTGATGCTGATGCTGATGATGATGATGATGACATACAACTAACAACATGAAGCACCAAACAAGTCCGTAAGCATCGACAGTTTAGAGGCGAAGTTATTTGTTATTTCTTTATACTGAGTTAAAATCCTGAAGCAATAAATCTGTATTATTCACCCCCACGCCTTGTCCAAAATCTCATGATGAATCGTACTTGCACAGTATCTGAAGCAGGTCCCCGCTGTGTGACGGCGAGATGGCACCTGGTTACTATGTGACGTAGCTCCCACAGCGAGATGTGAAATGGCATATGTGTGTGCTGAATGAGGCTGTCAACAATCACTCTGCTAATATACATGAGCTATAGCGATTCCCGATCTGGCCACTCACACGTAGGGTATCCGCCTTCCATCAGCTCCCATTGGCTCAGCTCAGATACGGCGGCGCGTTCTGTGAGGCTAACATGAAGCCTTGATCAGTGGTGATCATCAGCTTTGATCTTGACCTGTTTTTATATTGTCGCAGTGCGCCATGCATGTTTAAATCAATAAGAACTTGGTTTGTACGTAGCGGATTTCGTTCAAGAACACACGCTCACACAGATCCACAGACCATTATTGTAATCAAGTGTCCTGCTTCTCGCATTTGTCATGTAATCTCTGTGGGTAGATTCAGGTTAACACCTCGCCTGATGACCCCAGCCGTATCACACTTTTTCTCACATAATTTTCGACTGCTCCTTGATCGGATTAATTATCTTTACACCGATTCCGATATGTATAATACCTCGAAGGCATTTTTCGTAATTGAGACTGCAATATACCAACAGGGGCATACGGCATTGCAATATTTTATTGGTATTGTAATCTGAACAGTTGTCGAACAGAAGGCTTTACCGAAGTTAACGGCAGAAATCAAGACAGGATCACGGCACAGTAGGCATCATCCATGAGACAAAAACATTACATAGTAGTGGCAGTAGAAGATCCGGAGTCATTGGTGTTTAACCATCTGAACAGGTTGTGCCATCATTGCAGCAAGGGAGGTAAAACATCTGAAGATGTTGTGCCACAAGTGGTTGTAACACTGACACACAGTGGTTTAAATGACTTTAGTATCATCAAAATAAGTGAGTGAGTGAGTTTAGTTTTACGCCGCACTAAGCAGTATTCCAGCTATATGGCGGTGGTCTGTATATAATCGAGCCTGGACCAGACAATTCAGTGATCAACAGCATGAATCAAAATAAGTGATGACGATAGTACAGTGATTCATCATTATGGTACCAAAACAAAAGAAAAACAACGAAATTCTTGATTTGTTTACCATCAGGACAAATATATTGATACAGTTGGTACAAGTGGTGGGGGCCATTGTTACGGGTGATGTAATTATATATTATCCTGACAGTAGTTGATATTCGTGCTGTAAGTCATGTTAATACCATCCCGTGTAGAACAACTGTGCTACTAGAGATGGCACTACCACCAGAGAAAGTTTTGATGTTTATGCTAATATCACATGTTGAAGACACAAGTTCGATTCCACACATAGGCACAAAGTGTGAAGCCCATTTCTGGGTCCCCCGCCGTGATATAGCTGGAATATTGCTAAAAGCGGCGTAAAACTAAACTCCTACAACCAACATGTTCCATTCCGCCAGAGTTGGTGCTCCAAGTGATGCTATGTGAATACCATCAGAGCTAGTTGTGGCAACAGGGAAAGCTTTTAAGCATGTACTCGTCGAACTATACGGCCCTTTATTCCCGGGTGTGTACAATTCTAAAGCTCCTTACTCTGTAATACAATTGTATTGATTTTCAAAAGAGCAATTGGTCATTTTAGAGTGACTGATTGCAGCAGAAGAGTTGTATGTGATGTAAAATGTATCTCCTCCACAATCGAGAGGCTGTATTGTACCTGTTCGAGTTAAAAAGTGCGAAATGCTTCTCGTACGTTTATCGTCTTATAAAATCATTGATGCTATCTGTCGACGTTTTAAAGTCGATTTGCCCAGTAATCTCATTACATTAAAATCCTTTATTGTCAATCGTGATGAATAAACGCATTTAGGTTATCGCGTCCACTCGACTGCCTACACTGGTCAAACATCCAACACTTCGCGTCAATCAGATCTCCACAACGCAAATTGAGCCCGAGATAGTACGAACTCTTGTCGTAGTAAGTGAAATGCCCCGGAGGGGACGCACCTGGACTGCTTTAAGGCGCTACAGGTTCGTTTCGTGAGTTAAGGACAAACTACTCCGAGATGGAGGGCGAGATTTGGCGAGAGTATAGATATTGTAAGTGATAGGTGTGTGTCACCTGTCAACCAGGAGCGAGGCTGACAACTCGGCGCATGGCGCTCAGCTACACCAACTCCTCACAGCGCCGCTGTACCCTCGGGCCCAGTGTGCCGCAGGTAGTGTGCATAGGTGACGAAGCGCAACAGTAGTGGATGATAAAAGATGATTATGCAAATGACACGCTTTTGCTGAGTAATTCTTAATGTGATCATATTTGGCTGGCTTGATTCATGAAGCACTGATGGCGTGTTGATAGTAAATCTGACGAGGGACACCTGCTAATAACCTCGCTCCCGTCACACATGGCTGACGAGAGCAGGCAGTCCTAGGAAACAGATCTATCTTCTCCCGTATACGGTAGATGTATACCTGTTAAACGACTTATGAAGTTGGAATTAGAATAATGAACGTCCGATGCTGGGAAGTATCTGGTTTATTGGTTGATAGGTTGGGCAGGGGTACCGATGTTTTCAGGGAACTGTGGACGCAGTATCACAAATTGGTACTGTCATAGTTCACAAATACTCCAACATTATTCTGGAGACAGTAGTCTCTGAACAAAACACATGTTTTCCTTTCTGCTTTTATGAAAAAATTCATTACTTATAAAAACTTCTTGCCAAGTTTCACACGAAATCTCAAAACGAAACGCTTTTGTGTTGTAGTTAAAAATTAAGGGAAAGTGACTGCAAGATATTGAAAAAACTATACCGTTCTCGAAAATGCGCGAAAAAAAATCCCTACTGGTTTTCACACAACACACACGTCTTCTATTTAAATATAAATCCAAAATGGAAACAAACATTGTGTTTCCTGTTTGAAACGTAAAATTTCATCTTATTACAAATCTCTTAAGGGATCGCAAATCCTATGACACAAACATAATAGTTCTGTACACCGTGCTATCGCCTACCCATGCATGTCTCTTTCGCCACCCCATTCTCCATACATCATAGCATCTTCAAGAATCGGGATTATTTCTGTATAATAATTGCCTTAAAACAGCACGAGCACGGACAATCCTTATACAACACACCCTCTTGAAGTGTGTGTTATAAACTTACTGTTTTGAAGCAACGCAAACGAGTTCCATACAACAGAAATTTTTAAGCACCAGGAACATGTTTCAAATATCGAAATAGATTTGGGCGTACAAAGCCAAATAGTGGATACTACGAAATAGATGTCCCGCTCTATGGCTGTTTCAATAGACAGGACACTGTCGTACAGTAATTGCAGTTTATTCGTTTGTCTTCCAGCACCGAAGGAATCATCTGTCAATAATTATGTCAAAGCTGCTGAAAGAAATGTTCTTTACACCTCTGTTCCGGTGTCTCTTCTTCTCCAAGAATATCATCTTTATGAAGTACACTTATCAATTATAACAAAGCGTCTTGAGGCAAAATACAGAGCTTATATACATGTACCAGGCACGTCTCGTTTACCATGTCATTACTGTCATTACCTAGCATACACCTTATCACACATGGTAACAGTGTATACACATATCGTGTCTTAGATGTCCCTATGAATCTTGGTATGCCAGCACCATCCAGTTCACCACAGTGCACACGTCTTAGGTCTGCATCACCTTGGACTGTCCTCTCAAATTCAGCTGACACGTGACATTAGTAAAATGGCTTCACTAGAGCCACCGTCGTGTTTTCATTATTCAACATACATATGCTACTCTGTAACATGGTACAAGCAGGTTGGTAGACGCTTTGTTATACGCCCTTGAAAGTCCGAGATTTGAAATTCATGACACACTCCGACAAGAGGTGACAGACTGAGAAGGTTGGTGTGTTTCGCCAGTGCCATGCTCGTGTCTCTAACGGAGACGCCCGTAGTACTCGGGAACAGAGGGCTTACAGGACAGGATGAATAAACATAGACCCACCTGTCTTACATCTACCACCAAGCTGCCACACATTTACTACCTTCCACTCCAACTACCAC